CCTGAAACCTTTGAAAGTTCCCTGAGTCTACTACCTTTTAATCTTGACCCTAATCACAAGATAATATCTCAGAATATAGTCAATCCTGAAGCATCACCTATAGCAGATCTTCCTGAAACAGAGACAAGTCCTGCTGAGGAACATGAGTTAGAAGAAGATATAAATGATGATGAAGTGGAGCAAAGTGAACAAACAGACAAACTGGGTAATATCACCAATCTAGGTGAATCTGTAGGAGGAGATATCAGAGATCATCTGAATCATCAGAACCAATGTGCAACAGAGATAGCTAGGCACCATATGGTTACTAGAAGCAAAGCCGGAATTTTCAAACCAAAGGCCTACACAAGTCAAACACAAGACAAGGCAGCTGAAACTGAACCTTCTGGTGTTGAAAATGCATTAAAGAATAGCAAGTGGAAGAAGGCAATGCAAGATGAGTACAATGCCTTAATGGAAAACAAGACATGGACACTAGTGCCTCCTGAAGCTGGAATGAAGATAATAGGCAGTAAATGGGTGTTTAAACTGAAATATGACACTGAAGGAAAAGTACAGAGACACAAAGCTAGATTGGTAGCCAAGGGGTTTCTTCAAACTGCTGGAGTGGATTATGGTGAAACTTTCAGTCCTGTCCTCAAGGCATCTACTCTAAAAATCATTCTAACCCTTGCTGTTTCTAAAGACTGGGATATCAGACAAATAGATGTTAACAACGCCTTTCTGAATGGAAAATTGAATGAGACAGTTTATATGCATCAACCACAAGGTTTTGTGAACAAGAGAACTCCAAATTTTGTGTGCAAGTTAGAGAAGGCACTTTACGGTCTGAAACAGGCTCCAAGGGCGTGGCATGAAAAGCTGAAAAGCACTCTGTTAACATGGAACTTCAATTAGTCTAAAGCTGATAACTCACTCTTCTACCTGGCTGATAATGAAGATGTAGTTTATATGCTGATATATGTGGATGATATAATCTTGACTGGGAATAACAATCAAAGACTACAAGAAATCATTGACAAGTTAAATGCGAGGTTTGCTCTCAAGGATCTAGGAAAGCTCAGTAAATTCTTGGGAATGGAGGTCAACAGAGATGAAGCTGGAATTTACCTAACCCAAACAAGATACACCAAAGATCTACTCAGAAAATTCTGCTATGAACACCTAAACCAAGCCTAACACCAATGGCAGTTGGTAAGCCAATATCAAAAAATGATGGACAAATCATGGAGAATCCAACTCTGTGCAGAAGTGCAATCGGTGGTCTTCTTTATCTAACTCACACTAGACCTGATATTACCTACTCTGTCAACAGAATGAGCCAATATCTTCAAGCGCCTACAGATGCACACTGGAAAACATTAAAGAGGATATTCAGGTATCTGAAAGGAACATTAAATTACGGCCTCGCTATCTACAAAAGTGACAGGCTTGACATGAATACATTCACAGACTCAGACTGGGCATCATGCCCAGATGATAGAAGGTCCACAACAGGTTATTGTGTATATTTGGGAGATAGCTTAGCGTCTTGGTGCTCAAAGAAACAGCAAGTTGTTGCGAGATCAAGCACAGAAGCTGAATATCGTGCACTAGCCCATAGTGCATTTGAAATCACATGGATCCAATCGTTAATGCTGGAATTGAAAGAGTCACAGAAGACAGTTCCTATAATTTGGTGTGACAACCTAAGTGCCAGTGCTCTAGCCTCTAACCCGGTGTATCATGCACGCACCAAACATATTGAACTTGATGTTCATTTTGTTCGTGACAAGGTTCTGAAAGGAGAATTGCAGATTAACTATATACCATCGTCTGATCAGACAGCAGATTTGCTGACAAAGCCCCTTGCTCATTCTAGATTCTTATTTCTAAGAGACAAGCTTGGAGTAATTGAAACACACTCCAGCTTGAGAGGGGGAGTTGAAATTATACAGCCAACGTGATGCTGCTATGCTGCTGGTATTGCATAACAAATTGAGTGGAATGAAAATAGCAGCTGATCATCAGGGATGTTGTCTGCCAACGGGTGCACATTACTGTTAATAGGAATATTCCTTTTTTGTATATATTTGTAAGCATAGAGTTTCTTGTATAAATATAGGCCATATTGTAACACTTCAAGTGTAGTGAAAATTAATCTTTTACTCAGAATTCTTACTCGGCATCGCTCAAAACCAAGGGTGTGTATTGAATGCATGAAATCTCATCCTATACTTGCTCAAAAGTAAGTATAAACCTCCTAAAAGTTCGTCTCTTTGTAAACACCATGGACTGGAGTACTGGAAATTTGGTTTGCCAGGAAATAAATATTTTCCTCATGCTAGAGGACAATTATATGCCATCTCAAAAGATTTGGCTACTTCTGTATCAATAAACCAGTGAGTTTTATCTTTCCTGGGATTTTATGTTTCTTTCTATGCTTCCGTGTATTGTCTTATTGATTTGTAATTTTACTTATCCTAGGCACCTTCTGCACAAGTACGGAAATGAGGATGTTTCAATGGAAGATTCATCATCTTTTTGTTTTTTAACTGTTACCCAACATATCTCCACTTCCACCTAAAAAATCTCAATCCCGTGCATCCATGTGAGTCTTTCGAAATTGTGACCATTTGTTGTTAGTGAAAATTCTTAACTCAACAAATGTATACTTAGTACTGTTACAAAGCTGCTTGTATCTCGTTGCTCAATCTAGTTGCCTATCAAATCTTCTTCGATCTTCTGGGATGTCGGTGGGCAGAGTTCCTATAATGGTTCTTTCTCTCATAGGTTGTAAAAAAATCACTCATGGGTTCCTATAATAGGGATGGGAAGAAGTTTAAAATCTTATTTCTGACTTAAAACTTCTTTTTCATGAGTTTGAAGTTCTTTTTCTGTGTTTTAAGGAGTTACTTAATGCTATCGTAAAAAATAGTAGATTATATTCAATGAACGGAAGCATTCTTAGCCATGTATTACTCCCAAAAGTAAGAAGAAAAACATGATACTAAAATTTGGCATGGAAATGCCACCGCATTCAAAAGTCACAAGATCTTCATAGAGAACTGAAGAAGAACCACAGTTGAAAAACCTACCAAGAATATTCCAAGGATCTGAGATCATGTGATTGAGCTCTTTTCCATTCGTAAAGGTACAAAACACAACTAGATTTTTGTACTATATGTTTCATACCGAGCATTGGGTAGAACAACTGCATAATATAATAAATAAAATTTTAAATTCTTTTTTATTCAACATCACTATCTAATACTCCCCAACAACGTGCCATTATGGTTTCAGAATCCAGGAGTTTAAAATATTCCTATCAATTTTTACCAGCTCAGAGACAAATCGGAGAGACATCCCTTAATGAAACAAGCTATAGATCTCATCAAGTCATTAGATTGGTATTTCTATTTCTCAACCCTATACTTGTTTCCTCCAAAACTTTCATGTAACAAACCATTACTAACATTTCTATTCCATTTATTGACTATAATCTTCTTGCAAAAAATTGAAAACTCCTATCAAGGGGTCTTCCGAAATGATAATTCAAGCATTCTTGAACGTGAAGGAGAATCTGCATATAACGAATGCCTCGAGTTTTCTTAATTTAGGTAAATCAAGGACGGATGCGAGAGGATGAAGCAAGAAAATATTTTCAGCAACTTATTAATGTCGTTGATTATTTTCATATCAGGAGAGTCTATCACAGATATCTAAAGGTAATTGACATTGTTTTACAGTTAGTAACATATAATCTTACATTTTTAGTTTCATAGGTAGCTCATTCTTCATTATCTATTTGCTCGTGTAGCCTGAAAACCTAATGTTGGATGCCTCCAGGAACCTTAAAAGTTTCTAATTTTGGTTTGAGTGCTCTGTCTCAACAAGTAACGGTGACAATTGGTTTTACGGTAACCTTTACATTTTCTTTGCTTTTCCGGATTCTGGTTTTGATTTGAATTTTCTCAATTTATCCATTAAAGTATATAATAAAAAAGGCTTTTAACATCATAGCGACCGAGAATTTTAAATTATTATCTTGAAAAACGGGTCGTAAGTTTTAACTCCAAATTTTAAAATGAAACGTGTTCGTCTAGCCGTTACAAAACGAATTTAAATCTATTTAAGTCGTGACCAACCTCGAATAAATTTTTATTTATCAATTCCTATTCCTTTTGTCTAAATCAACTCCACAGTCGACAAACCGCACCCACATCACCTGGGTGAAGCTCCATCAGTCGCATTTGGCCTCCAATTTGAGCCTCTGTTTGAGCCCAACTTTGTTTATTTAATTTGATTTGGTCAGTGGATGTTTGGGCTTTGATTCTTTTGTTGGTTAATTATTTTGTTTTTGGGCCCAATATTTGTACTTTGATTTTAGTGCTTAAAAAAAAGAGTATTTTTGTCAATTGGGCCTCAATTTGTG